AAAGTAGTAGTGTCCCTACTGCAAAAGTTAGGTGATAATATACTACAAAGCTCTTAAAAGATTTATTCTGGATTTAACTTCTTTCTAATGAATTCCTGGAAAAAAAAACACAGATTGCCCTATGCAATGCAATGATTCAGCAATAAAAAGGAATTACTGAAATATACACAATACAGATGAACCTCAAAAACATCTTAGGAGAGAGCAGCCAGACTCACTATGAGCACATAGTGTCTGAGCCCATTAACAGGAAATGTCCAGAAAAAGGAAGAAGATTTATAATTGCCTGTGATGGAGAAGCGGAAGGAGTGACTCTAATGGGCTTATAGTTTTTCAGATAATGAAAATGTTATAAAATTAAATTATGGTGCAGGCTACACACCTTGTAAATAATACTAAAAGACACTATCTTACACATTTTTAAAAAGTGAGCTTTATGATATGTATGCTACATCTTTAAAAAAAAAAAAAAAAAGATGTATAGGCCCTCCCTGGTGGCGCAGCGGGTTAAGCACAGCACTAAGAAGCTAAAGCCGCTTCCGTATGAGTTCGATTCCCGCCTGCCCCGGAGGTGACCACATGGTGCAGCAGACCTCTCCTGACCCGCCCGCTGCTCCTCTCAGCAGTGTACTTGGCAGATCTGCCTGTTCTGTTCCCCACTCTGTCTCTTGTGAAGCCTCTCGCCGCCCCTGAGCCTCTGGCCTGTACCCCAGTTCTGTATGCACAAATAAATAAATCTTTTTAAAAAAATGTGTATTAAAAAAAATTTTTTTTTTTGTCCAGGGCTTGATTACACATACCGTACATACATACACACCAAAAAGAGTAAGAAGTGTGTTTTAAATCCACAGAACTTAAAAACAAGAAACCAATTGACAATTATACAGCTTGATATATCAGAAAAGTAGTTTCAGAAAATCCTGCCAAAATGCCAGATACCACAATATTCTTGGTAAGCTACTTTTGAAAGGGGTCAAGAATAAAATCCTTTCAGGATTCTTATTAATATATTAATATATTTTTATTTAATTTCCTTCTTTTTCCTTCTTTTACATCCTGAAATTGAAACATCAAGATATGAATATATAAAAGCCCCTTTTCTCAGTATTCTATTCCTCACATTTTGGAATTTTTAATCATGAACAAATTATACAAGAAAAAGCTAATCTTAAGTTTAGTAAATGTGCATTACCTTCCATAACTTACTCCTAAGATTTCTTCTTATTTCCTCCACCTGGATATTAGAATATTTTTATTAACTCAATTTTTCCTTTATCTAACTAACATAGTACATGTTTTTGTACTATTAGTTACCTAACAAAAATAGAAATGAACCATGGACTGGAAAAAATAACCTTCTCACCCAAACACCACTAACAACAGAATCAAGCAGGTAAAAATTCTAAGAATTATATATGAATTATGTAAAACAGAACAAACTCATGTTAACTCATTTTTATTAGTAAGACCATGTAATTCAGTTGCACCCAGAGCAACACATGAAGAACTAGCATGAACACATAAAATGGACACTCCTTCATAATGGAATGAGGAAGAAAATAAGGATGTGATTATGAATACCACTCACTCAGTGAAATGAGGAAGTAGCAACATTATATTTCTATTTTATGATCCCTCACAAACAAGTACACTCCCTCCCCCCTTTCCAGTTTAATATTTGCCTGCCCCCCTCACTACATCTAATCTGGCATCAAAAAGCAAACATGATCTACCATAAGAGTGAATGGCTCATTCTTTCCCGTTAGTAGCTGTAGCTAAGTTTTGTAAGAAAATGGCAAGTTTGGGCCCTTCCTGGTGGTGTAAGGAGTTAAAGCACAGCACTATGAAACCATCAGGAACACCAGCATTAGTTCACTCCCCGGCCAGGGAGCTGACCCACATGGCATAGCAAACCTCTCCTGCTCTGCTTGCTGCTCCCCTCAGAAGCATATTTCAGTCTCCCTGTTCTGCTCCCCACTTAGTCTCTGGTGAATCCCCTCACCTCCTGCACCTCTGGCCTGTACCGCAGTTCTTACACGCATGCATAAATAAATCTTTAAAAAAGAAAATGGCAAACTTCACCTATTTTCACTACTAATGCTATCTATTTTTCAGTGAAAAATACTACTGAAGGTATAACCTTTTCACTATTTTCACTACTAATGCTATCTATTTTTCAGTGAAAAATACTACTGAAGGTATAACCTTCCTCCAACAAACTACAGTGGTATCTATTTCCTTCTACACCTCCAAGAATTATTTCCTGTTTAACCTTCTCCTAATTCAGTTTACCTTTTGTGTGTGTGTGTGTGTTTTTTATTACAAAGTTTATTTTTACATCATTTTGCGCATTTTTTTCCATCTCGATTGTAATCCCCGCGGGTTTCCCATCACCAAATCACCCCTGTGCAGTTTACCTTTTTATTCTACATCTGTATACAGCTCAAGAACTATCCACCTGTGTGGTACTTTGCTAAGGCCTGTGAGTTTGCAGGACTTACATTTTCTCAAAAAATTTTTTACACAAAGTTAAAAAAAAGCACTGGGCAGCGCCAATATTTGGTTAATTTGTTCCCTGGAAACATGACGCAAGTTCCAAAGTTAATGTACTCATTCACAAAGTAATTCAGTTATATCCTCATCATTTCATTCATGTATTAAGTATTAATCACACACTGACAGAGGACCTGCCGTGCAAACTGCAATCAGTCCCCCGCTCAAAAATTGTCACTGATTCCTCAGCGCTTACCAAATTTCTGAGTAAGACTTTCAAAAACAGTTTCTCATACATCCACATTCCAGGTCCTCCCAAACATTCCTCATACTTTGCCTACATGAAGCCCTCAGTCAGGAATGCTGTCTACACTGCAATCAGCAACCCCCTACTGCCAATTCTCCATGTGAATTATCTGGTCTCCACAGTGTGCTGACACTATGAGAGGGTCCTGTAAAGATTTTCTAGTTTGAATATGTGAACAAAGCTTTAGCTCCCATCAGTTACACCACCACCAACTCAGTTTAACTGGAAGATATTGACCTGAAACAAGTAACTGCAATACTATTCAGCAGGTAGTAAGCTGCATTAAAGTGAACCAGAGCTGAGGGATGTAAAAACATAAACCTAGTAAAGATGCACTCTAGCCAAAAAGTCTATTTAAAATGCACAGGGTTTTGAAAAAAAGGAAAAACAAAGACAATTTTTAGTTTCTTTCCATTTTCAATGATAAAAATTAGTTTGACCTACTAGACCAAGCTCTGAAAGCAGAGTTTTGCATGACACTGCAAAAAATACCTTAACAAAATTTACTTGTAGACATTTTAGTACAATGAGTATTATGACCAACTCAAGGTGCTGGTGCTGGTGCTGGGATGGGTGCAGAATGGCTAAGATGAAAATGCCTGATCCTGAGTTCTCCCTGGGCCAGAATCCTTGATCCCTAAACTGACTGATCTTGCCTTCCCAGATGTCCTACCCAGATGATAACCTCTTCTCCACCTTCCACTGTCAACGCCCCCCACAGCTGCCATTCATTCCATCACTTCTCTCAGAGGTGATCTAGCTGCCAACAGATCTGCCTCCTCTAAAACCCCACAAAAGCAAGCAAGTTATATTGGAGAAAAAGAATCTCAACTCTGAATGCCTTTTCTAATCTAGTACATGTTAGGCACAAACCAGTTTGTTTTAAAAAAAATCAGGCATTTTCATCTGAACTTTAAACAGCTATTATGTGTATACATCATGTAAAACTCTGGAGGCTCTAAAGGCACAAGGAATATACCGAGAAAGTGAAGTCAAGGAGGTCTTCTTCCCAGAGACAATCATTATCATCTGTTTGCTGTTACTGAACAGTTTTTGCTTTCACTATAGACAGAGAAGCTCAACCACATTCTGTTTTAGGGCTTGCTTCTTTGGGGAAAGGTGCTGATCTGAGAACCAGACATCTATGTACAATGTGTCTGTGAGAAAACACGCCATGAGTGTTAAAGAACACCATCTTTTCAGAAGACTGTAGACACAGCTGGGATAAATATTTCATGATATCTTGAAAAGATCATGGTTTTTAGCACTTCGCAGATCCATGTCCACATATAAGATCTGAACTAAACATTTTAGTATATATTATTTAACTTGCGATTTTTTTTTTAAGATTTTATTTATTTACTTATTCATACAGAACTGTGGTACAGGCCAGAGATGCGGAGGGTGAAAGGATTCACCAGGGACAGAGTGGGATGCAGAACCGGCAGATCGATGAAGTACACTGCTGAGGGGAGCAGCAGGCCGGTCAGGAGAGGTCTGCCATGCCATGTGGATCTCCTCCAGGCAGGCAGGGATCTAACTCATGCAGAAGTGGCTTAAGCTTCTTAGTGCAGTGCTTTAACCCGCTGCGCCACCAGGGAGGGCCAAACTTGTGAATTTTTAGCTTGCTTTTCAAAAAAAACAGGGACTGGTTCTCATGATGATTAAGTTTAAGATATGTTTATTACTTTATGATTTCTCCATGCCTTTAATCGTGCTTTCAGCTTTCTTTGTGGAATTCTTCACTTAACATTTTAAATCTGAGTATTTTTAGTATACACCCAAATTTCTAAAGGAAAAAAAGTGAGTGAAAATACCAAACTTTCTATAAAAGGCTTTATTTACAGAATCAAAAACTCCAACAATTACCTTTTGTTCTTCTCTTTCTGTTGCATGATGACACTTCTCAATTCTCCAATGCCTCAAGAAGTCTCGAAGATAGCCAAAGAGCGTAAGTACACCATACCCCACATAAGTAAGCACAGCAACCAGCATTGGTGTCTCCTCAAAAGCTTCATTAAATGGTCTTTTATATAATCCTCCATTTTGTGTAACATGATGTATCTAAAAGGGAAGTTTAAAAATGTTTACTTTTATTCACGTTATGACAAAGACTTGCTAAATTTCTAAATCCTGAGATTTGCATAATTCTTCAGAATTGTGTAAATAGTAGTTTTTTAAAATACCACTATGATTTAAGCAGGCTATAAATTTTTCAACAAAAATAACTTATAACTTAGAAATACTCCATATAAATAATAAAGAAAAACAGAGAACAGGGGATGCCCAAGAACAATGTCTTTACACTCATTTCTATTATAGTTATTTGGTCTCAAGGAAAATCCTTAAAAGCCTGAGTGGACAGGATAATTAATATGCAAATTTCAACAAGTCAAAGTCTTAGCACTTCAGAGATGTGCAAGTTGATGCAAAATTTTTATCTTCACAAGGTCTAAATAAAAGAGGGATCACAATCTTATGCATACATAATGCTCCAGAGAGGAAAGTATATGCTTGTCCATTCATTGCACAGGTAGCAGTAAGAACATTATTTATTAAGTGCTAACAAAAAAAAATATTCAATAATGTCTCATTATTATCAGTATTACAGAAGATGGCACCTTATAGGAGCTCAACAAATATCTTTTGAGTCAATGAAAATATATGTTATGCTCTTTGCTCTTTCAACAGTAACCTCCTCAGCCTAGAAGAAGTTAAGTCAACTATAGTGGTTGCACGGTTAATCTTAAAATTTTTTTTCCTAAAGATTTATTTATTCATACAGAACTGGGGTACAAGCCAGAGATGTGGAGGGTGAGAGGATTCACCAGAGACAGAGTGGGGAGCAGAACAGGCAGATTGATGAAGTATACTGCTGAGGGGAACAGCAGGTGGGTCAGGAGAGGTCTGCCGCGCCATGTTGATCTCCTCTGGGGCAGGTGGGGATGGAACTCAGGCGAGAGTGGCTTAAGCTTCTTAATGCAGTGCTTTAACCTAACCTGCTGCGCCACCAGGGAGGGCCTAATCTTAAAATATTTTTAAAACCCAGATAGACAACTTTTAGTCTCAACTGGACTGTAACTATGACCTAGACATCAAGTTTACTCTAAAACAAGCCTTGGCGACAAACTCTCATGGAATATTTCAAATTCTGGATTTATCCTGCAATAGAGCTCCTTAAGCTTTTTATTCTAACTTGAGAATTACAAGCCAATTAAGAAAATGTTTACCATTTACTCCCTCCAGGTTAAAAAAAAATCATCCTGTTTATATTAAGCAGACAAGAGCATGACACTGCCAGTAATATTATCTTTTATATTTATTTACTTATATTGAGGTAATGTTGTTTTACAGCACTGTTATATTTTAGGAATATGACTTCATACCTCTCCCACTAAACAGTGCCACAATCAGACTTACCACTAAAATACTAATAATCCTTCACCTCTGTCCACTGGTCTCCTTGTGCCTTTGATCCCTACCTCTCAGTCCCCCTCAGCAACAACAACACACCTTGGATAACTTCAGCTTTGTTTGTTTTCTGTCCCTTTGCTTAATCTATTTATATTCCACATGAGTGAAATCAACCAGTATTTGTTTTCTACTAACTTCCTTCACTTGGAATAATCCCCTCAAGTTCCACCCTTCTTGCAGAAATGGCAAGATTTCTTTTCCTTATAGCTGTGTAGTATTCCATCATGTATATATATACCACATCTTTATCTAATCATTCATCTTACAGCATTTATATCTTGGCAAACAGCACTGCAATGAACTCAAGAATACATATATATCTTTTCAAATTGGTGTTTTTATATTCCTTGAATAGATACCTGTGAATGGAATTCCTGGATCAAATAGCAGATCTATTTTCAATATTCTAAGAAATCACTATACTGTCTCTCATAGAGACTTACCAGTTTATTCCCACAAACAGTGAAAGATGGTTCCTTTTACTCCACACTCATCCTGTGTTAATATTATTAATCAAAGGAAAACATAATGAATACCAAACTATGTCTAATTAAACAGTATTTTTTTTTCTTCAAGTGCAAATGAAGACTTTTTTTTCAAACCAGACTAAAGCACATTACTATACAATACATTACAGGACATGGGGAGGGTAAAAATAGATTTGTTATCTATTGTGCCTTTAGGTGCCAATCATATGTATTAAGCATCTGAAAGGTCACTCCTAACCAAAGCAATAATGAAAGACATAATCAAAAGATGAACCATACACATAATATGTATCAACATTGTCTGGCAGGAAACAGAAATTGGAGTTGGATGAAGAAATGTTCATCATCATTAATCATTAGGGAAATGCAAATCAAAAGCACAATGAGATACCAGCTCACAACAGTGAGAATGGTTCCTATTAAGACTAGAAATAACACGTGCTAGAGGGTATGGAGGGAAAGCAACCTTACACTGTTGTAGGAATGTAGACTGTCCAACCCTTATGGAAAGCAGTTGGTGTGGAGGGAGGAGGGAATAAGGGTAGGAAGGGACAATGCGTTAGCATGGGAGGTCTGATGGCGGGTGAGTGAAGAATGTAACCCCGAAGTTATACAGACATGTAAATGGTGAGCAAATTTAATTAAAGTAAAATGAAAGTAAAAAAAAAAATTAGATTTGGGAATGGACTGGGGAAGAAGTATACTTCTGATTTATAACCCTCTTAACCAATTTGGTTGGTATGTACATTTCTGAATTTCAGTTATTTTATTTTTGAAATAGTCAAACTCAATTTTCTCAGTGATATGACTCCTTATTTGGCCCAAAACAGAGTTATTAAAAAAAGCAACGTATACCTATCATCATAATCGTAGGTCATCTCACTAGTCTCTTGACACAATTCTCATCTACTTGTTAGTTCTCAAATATACTTTACATGCTGATGAGGAAGCACAAATCCTATTTCAATACCAATTTTTCCCAGAACTCCAAATTTGTATTTCCACTTGCTTCTTATAACATCTACTTAGACATCAACACATCTAAAAACTGTTCACTGTCCTAACTCCTCCCTCAATTAAAACCTGATTCTCGACTGTGCTACCCACACGGTTGACAGCATCAGCATCCAGTTTACCCTGTCTCCCAAGTTTGGCATCATTTTTAGCTCCACCCATTTTCTGGCTTCCATGGAGAAATAGCAATGAATTTTTATGACTTAATTCAAGACCTTGTTGTGGAATACCAGGGAATTTTGAGAAGTCTGGAAATAAACTTTATCTTGAGAGAGTATTAGACAAACAGTATATACACAGGTAAAAAATTGTGTGGCTGTACACCTAGCATATTTTCTACACCTGACTGTAGGTATGCTACTCCTTAATTACAAAGAAACCAAACTTCAACACTTCTTACTTCAGTGGACTACTGCAAAATCCTCCGTCCCATTTAGTATCCCTGCCACCAAGACTTTCCCCCCACATTAGTTATCTTTCTTATCACACCAAACTTCTTGCCAGTTTTTCAAAAAAAAAAACACCTCAATAGAAGGGGTCCTCCTGGTGGTGTGCAAGGGTAGTTATGTGTCAGCGCTATCAAGCTAGCACCAGCCACCGAGGCATGAGTTCGATCCCTGGCCAGGGATCTGACCCACATGGTGCAGCAGACCCCTCCTGTCTCACCCGCTGCTTCCCTCAGCAGTGTATTTTAATCTGTCTGTTCTGCTCCCTACTCTGTCTCTGGTGAAGCCTCGCATCCTCCGCACCTCTGGCCTATGCCCCAGCTCTTCGGTGCATAAAAAATAAATCTTTAAAAATAGAATCATCTCCAGAAGGAATGAAAAAATTCCAGCAGTAGTTAGTATACAATATCCAAAACTGAAAAGGAGCAGAAGTATAATCATGTAATTTAGAAATATGGAGGTAAACACCAAAAGAATCTGCTAAAGAACAGCTGCCTGTGCAGATGAAGAAAGGGAGAGCAGAAGACTGCTGTATGCTTTGTAAGAAGCCTTATGGAACTAGGTCCTGCTTAAAACCACGCGCTGCAACACATGAAAGAGGCTAAAAATCATACATACCACAGGACAGGGTCATGCAGCTATTTGACTATGATTGTGCACTTTCAAAACAATGAAAGAATGACTCTAAAGATGATTCAGAAATTTCAAGGGCTCTCTTCTCAATTCCCAAGGTGGAAGGAACCATCTCCTCAAGATGCAACAGCTGCCTGGAACATCGGGTGGCATGGCACTGGAGGGATATGACTGTACTCACCACAGTAGATCAAGAGCACAAAGATGATTAAATCTTTTTTATGTAAGTTATTTATATATTTTTTATATCATTGTTCATTTTTGTACAATATTTGCTTTGTGCTCTCAGGTGTATTCACCATCAAATTCCTACAACCACTTCACCCGTGCACCATCACCATAGTCCCTTGTGCTCTTCCCTCCCCTGTTTTGATCCCTCGTCCTTTCCTTCCCTTACAGAATGTCTCTGATTTATAGGTGCTTGTTAATTCTGTCTTTTTTATTTATTATTATTTCTTTTCCCCGATGAATTACTTGGTTCCCCGTTATTCTTCCTTTAAGAGAAACCATCTGATATTTTTTTTCCTACTGGCTTACTTCACTGAGCAGAATCCCTTCTAGTTCCATCCATGTTGCTGCGAATGGCATGAGTTTATCTTTTTTGATTGCTGAATAGTAGTATTCCATGTGGTGTGTGTATGTGTATGTGTATATATACACATACACACTCACACACACACACTTCTTGATTCAGTCATCTATTTTGGGGCATTTGGGTTGTTTCCGTATCTTACCTATTATAAATAGTGCTGCAATGAACACAGGGGTGCAAGTATTCTTTTGAATTAATATTTTTGTTTTCTTTGGGTAGCTTCCTAGGCATGGACATATGGTAGCCAAGCCATTTTTAGTGGTTTGAGGACCCTCCACCTAGCTTTCCATAGTGACTAGACCACTTACCAACAGTAGTGTAGGAGTTCCTTTTTCTCAGACTCACTTTTCCTTCTCATTTCTCCCATCTGGCATGGTGGAGAGGAATTTTGTCTCAGAAACTATATCTTGAGACTCA